GTGTTTGCCTTTTTATTTTTCTCTTAACTCCTATGTTTGAACTTCACAGTTTCTACCAAGCTCTGGTATTTTCATTAGGAATGCTTGGAAGTGCTCTATCTCATTAAAAATCCATTTTTAACCCCTGAGTATTATACTCCGTTCTACTAATAAGTTATTTTTGGCTGTAACCCTAAGTCTTTGGCCTTCTGAAATATTCCCACTCTAATCCATCTTCCTTCCATTCATCTCTCAAATTAATCTTAAAAGTGCAGTTCTGACCATGTCACCTCTCTCCTATTCAATAAATGTCAGTCCCTGTGACCCCCAGGATCAAATATAAAATGCTGTTTGGCTTTCAGAGCCCTCTCCTACCTTTACAGTTTTCTCACACCTTACTCTCCACCACATACTGTGTAGTCCAGTGTCATTGACCTCCTTGCTCCTCCTCCCACAAGACTTGCCATCTCCGAACTACAGGCCTTTTCACTGTCCCCCATGCTTGGAGTTCTCTTTTTGTTCATCTCCTCTCCTGGCTTCAAGATCCAGCTAAAATCCTACTTTCTACAAGAAGCCTTTCTTGATCCCCCTTAATTGTAAGACCTTCCTTCTGTTGATTATTTCAGATTTATCTGTAGCCAGTTCGTTTGTACATAGTTGTTTCCATGTTATCTTCCCTAATAGACTTTGAGCTCCTTGAAAACAAGAACTTGTCTTTTGCCTTGCTTTGTATCTTCAGTGCTTAGCACACTTCCAGACACATAATAGATGCTTAATAAATGCTTATTGATTGATATTGCCTTCTGATTCCAAGAGATGTAGGCAGTTTTCTTGACATTGTTTTAATATTTTCTTGTCTCATGGAATTATTATCTTTTATTTAGTCCATTCTAATTTTCAGGGAGTCTGTTGCCTGGGTAAGATTTCATACCTTTTGTTCCAAGCTATTAATTCTCTAATTCTGTTCCATTCAGTTCTTTTATCTTAATGTTTCAATTTCATGTGTAAAAAAAAATTTTAAGCTCTTTGATTTGGCTAATGTGTAACTTTGTATTACTATACATATTTGTGATAGGTTTTGTAATTTTTTGCTTTCTTATTGGGTTTGGTAGGGAGTGAGGGAAATGTGAGAATTTGGAACAAAAAAAAAGTCTGTGCTTTGAAAAAATAAACTCTTGCATCTTCTTTTCTAGGAATTCTAGTTGAACTTGAGCTCAAGCTGTATTTTTCTTTGAGACTGTTTATAGGTGTTTTGGAGTCATTCTTTTCTTCTAAGTTTGTGGCTTGAGTGACCCTTTCACCAATACTAACATTATGGTGGAATTCTTTTTTGTGTGTGTTTGCTCATTCTTCCAGCTTACTTCTTCACTTGAGTCTTTATGTAAAGGCTAGACTTTGTGCACTTTTGGAGGGAATGTGTAGGCTATATTTGTGTCCTCTTGGGTCTTGATGCTGCTTTGTTGGGGTACTGTTATATTATTCCAGGGTCTCAGGGACAGCTTAGGCTGGACACCTGTAAGCTTCCAGTGCTCCCAAAAGGGTTTGATCCAAGGTGAAATCTTAGCGCCATCCTAAGGTTCAGAGCTCTGCAAATTCTGGGCCTGGTTTTGGGTCTGAGCAATGCAATTGTAGGCTTGCCTCTCATTGAAGTTCCAGTGGACTGCCGTTGGAATCAGACACTATCAATCCAAAGCAAATGTCTGCAGAATCAGGATGACAGAACAACGGGTTCCCTTTGGTCTGGAATTCCTGCCCTGGTTATTATCCTGCCAGCTTCAGACTGGGCCCGATGCTGAAACTGAGACTCCTTCCCTCCTTCACACCCAGCTCCATGTAACTGTTGCTTCTCAATGTGCTGCTTGCTCAGTGCATAGCCTAGAGCCTGTGACCACTCCTTGCCCTGTAACACCACTCCTGCTAGGTACAGGACCCTTCCTCAGCCCCTCTGTATCTGTGACCCAGCATTGGGTAGCGAGTGACAGAGCAATCAACTGCCATTTGTTACTGTGCCCTGCACAAGGTTAGGCCTCTTTGTGCTGATCTGGGACCTTTTCTTGCCCTGCCACAGCCACAATCAGTCCCTTGAACTTGAAGGCACTTCATATGAAATTCCCCATTTTCCCCAGCTATAGGTAAAAGAAGGATGAGGTTTTAGTAGGGAGCTTACTTGAATCACTGTTACTCTTCCCTGCAGGGTTTTAGCCGTCAGTCTTCACTCCTCTTTAAGATCCTTTCCAGTGTCCGGAATCATCAGATAAACTCAGATCTGGCTCAACTACTGCTACGACTGGATTACAACAAGTATTACACCCAAGCTGGTGGGACTCTGGGCAGGTAGGAAGAGGTGGTATTCAGCTAGCTAGGTTTATAGACTCAGACTGCACTGGAGGGGTCTTCTGAGGTCTTCTACTCCAACCCCCTTATTTTACAATGAGGAAGTTGAGACCTATTGTCTCAGATTGCCCAAAAGTCACATAAATAGCAGTACCAGGATTTGAATTCAGGTCCTCTTATCCACATCCAGTGGGCTCTCCTCTGCTCTGCCATGCTGCCTTATGTAAAAAGATCAAACTTCTTTATATCAAACAGTCTCTTCAGGAGGATTTTCCCCCATACTATAGTGTGGGTTTGTGAGCAAGAGGAGTTAAGAATCATTTGCTCAGTTCTCCCATTATCTTTCTTCAAACATTTCCCTAAAGAGGAAAAAAAAGGCTTATTTTGGTCTTAGTAATTTCTTCTAAGCCTCCTCCAACAGATCTTTTGGTGATGTTAACAGAAGACAGGCTAGGAACTGTGTACAATTCCTTGAATTTTAATGTGAAACTGTCTCACATCCATAGTTTTTTGTAGAAGACTTCTGAAAATTATGCAATGGGATCTTTTCTTTTGCAGTTTTGGGGTATAAAAATACCCTGTTGCAGAGGTTCAGGAGCTGAGTTCAGGAACTGAGTTGGCAAGACTGGAGTTTCCATCTATCTAGCCTGGTGATGCTGTCTGTTACTGAAGGTTCATGGAAACATTCTCTTCTGCTTTTATAACTGAGAAATTCTTTATCTCCTCTTCAGTCACTGAAGTTTAATCCACTCCCTTCTGTCATAGAGCCATTAACTTTGTACCAAGGACATCATTTGTCACCACTAAAAAATGTTAGCTTCATACACATCCATACACAAGCAAATTTTCTTCTGGACCTCTAGAAGAATTTATTAATCCTCCTTCTAGGAGTATGGTGGTAAAGCATGACTTAGTTATAGTCAAATGACCATTACTGAATCTGTAGTTCTACTAGAAATACATTTTGAACAGTCATTGTAGTATGACCAGAAAGTCAAATCTGCTTATGGCATATATTTGGAAAGGGGATTATTTTTGCACACATTAGATTTCTGGTTGCCTGCCATTAACAAGCAAGAAGGGCAACAGGTAAATGTTCTATTGAATTTATAGCCATTCTTCCTTATTCAGAGCTTTTCGACATCATCCTGGAAGTACCTAAAAGATCTTAATCTATGAATCAAAAATAATTCATCAGCAACTTCCAACTATCTGAGCTTAAACTTAATGAGTAAGTAGCTGGGTCAAAAAGCAAAGGATTAAGATGGTATGGAAGTTTTTTTTGGGAGGGGGGGAGAATAAAGTCTACATGTGAAAATTTCAGCCATAAAAGGGCATCAGTAGTTTAAATCACAAATTCCGCATCCAACTAATTAGTGCTACTAAAGTAAAAGCACTCAGCAATTTTATTGGGGTGGGGGTGGGGGGGTTGAGGGGTGGTATCTCATAGGTGTGGGAGACTTTCCATCAATTCAGATCTGCAGCCAATCCACAACTCATGGTACCGGGGGCACCAAGAAGTTAAGTGACTTGCCCACAGTCCTGGAAACAGTCTGTGTGGCAGAGACAGGGCTTGAACCTAGGTCATCAGCAGTTTCATAACACCATCAAAATAAATATTTATTAAATCCTTGCCATTGTACTGGTTTCTGTGTATAACAGATAAAAACTTGATCTCTGTTCCTAGAAAATTTACCTAGATTCTAGTGCCATTGCTCGATGTTCTACTCTTTAACTTATTCTTTAAATTCATTCTTCCTCTTTATATTAATTTAAATTAGTTTTTAAGTTCTTACTCTTTAAATTATTAGTTCTTACTCTTTAAATTAATTAGGCACCTAACAGGGACTTTCCATTACTGTCTGTCTCCTAGAAAGCAAGAGCAAAGAAGAGATACTCAGGGATCTCCTAAAGAAGATGGATGGAAGTGGTCTTTCCCTCTACCACAGATTGCAGAGGGACTAACTAACTTCTTTCTGATAGTAAGGCCAATGGCTACAGTAATTTGAAATATGTGACGTTTTGGAGTCTTGAACATTTCTAAGTGTTCAGGTAGCTATTTCATTTTATATGACCTCAGAGCTTTTGACCCAGTCCCAGCCCCGTCCTAGACTCTCCACTAGGTAGCTCCATAGGACAGCTTACCCACACATCAAAGGAAATGAAGCTCTTCCGTGCAGTTGAGTCTTAGCATCCCTAAGTTTCATAATTTCATATTTTAGAATCTATAACTTACCAGTCATATGCTCCCTGGAAAGAAGTGTTTTAAGGCAAAAAATATTCTCCACTTATCTTTGGAATGTCTTGGTACAAAATTAACTAGAAAACACAAATGGTCAGCACTAAGCCTCTTAAACACTAAATAGCAAATTTGAAAGCCCCTCATCCCCCCCAAGGCAAGATGCCCCTGTTACAAAAGGTAATGAGGACTCTGCTTAAAGGTCATACAATTGGGGTTCTTAATCTTTTTCCAGACATGGACCCCCTCTGGCAGTCTGTGGACCCCTCCTCAGAATTGTTTCTATATTCATAAAATACACAGGATTAGAAAGGAAGCCAATTATATTGAAATACATTTATCAAAATATTTTTTTAAAAAGTAGTTAAAAAACCTCTGCCCTACAGGCAATATTCTTTTCTCTTATTCCTTCCTTCCCAAAGAAACTCAGAAAAAAAGGATAAAGAAATCAGTTACTACAACCAAAGAGATTCAACATTTATTTTGTCATAAAAGTCCAGCAAAGAAAACTATATACAATGATCCATGCATGAAGTCCAGTTACACACAAGACACATTTAAAACCTGGTTAAAACACAGTCTTCACAATAGCAGGGAATGAAATTGATGGGGCTGAGCATCTTTAGTTAGCGACATAATCATGTTTATATTTTGGATGCTGCTTGAATCCAACTCTCTCCCCAGCAATGAGGCACTGGATAACCCACTCTTGTGACACCACAGGCAGCTGTAATGCTTCTGCACACTTAAGCACCGAAGAAGGGCACGAGGGGTCTGTCACCACAACATCAAATACCCCCAAAGCAACATCTGAAAGAATAAGCAGAAAATAAATTAAAAGGAATACATTATAGCCCTCTGTTATGAGCAAAAACATGCCCTCTAGCCAGACCATTCCACTTTGCCCTAACTAGAGACCTATTGTGTCCAAATCTCTATTTGAACTTGGACTTTTTAGTAAAAGGATACCATAATGAGTGTCCCCTGAACCCAGAGAATGGTCGCATCTAGGGAAAGATTTGGCAGACATATCACTGGAATCAAGCAGGAGCCAAGGACAGCCCTGTGCTTGTCTTATGGTGGCTCACCTCTTGAAGTTGCTCTTGTCTTCTCTCAGAGGAACATGGGTAAGGTCAACCCATCAGGACAGGAACTTTGACCACAAGGCCCAGTAATTTTAATGCTAACCAGATATGGGTAGTAGAAACAATGCACTCCCTAGGGAAGCAGAGGTTTCCTAACATCCTTTCAATAGGTACCTTTGTTCTGGGCGACTGAGTGGTGCTGCTTCACTGAGGCTGCTCCCCCAGTCATAAGGATCTCAGACCAGAGTTCCAGGAAGTTTTGCTGCTGGTCAGATACCAAAAGGACTTTCAGATTATGGAAAGGATTCTCACGGGGATGCCTGCAAAAAAGGGAACAGAATCAAAGCTGGAAAAGAACAAATGTAGATCTTAATCCTCTCTAAGAGAAAACAAGGTGAATACCAAACCCATAGTATAGCCTCAAACCTCCCCTAAAGGTTCTTGATTGATACATATGAATGTTTTAAAAAGTAAGTTTTCTGTAGGAACACATTCCTGCACCTTCACAATTTCTGTGAATAAAGACTTCTTCAAAACTCTACTCTTTAGGCCTTAGCCTGGAGAACCTAGCAGGCTTACCCCCTTATTATGATCATTTCAGGTCTAACTGGTCCTTAGGTTCAGGGTCATATAAGAGCAAGTTCTTACATATTCCCCCTCCACTCCAGGACTTACCCTCCCAGAGGTCAGAAACATTTCTTAACTGCTCTAAATTATACAAATCGATGTACATATGTCAAAAAACTTTAATTTCAGGATTAATTCTCTCAGTTCTCATTGGTGAACCAGTTCAGCTCTACACTGCTCTTTTTTGAGTCCCTAGTCTCCTTATCATACCACTGACAACCTGCCAAGCCTCAGTCCTGGACCATTCCCCATTCCTACTTTCCACCACCTTACTCCTGCATAAGTGCTGCTGAACAAAGGTGGAAAATACTACACCTCTCAGGTGAGAGCCTTGCCTCATGTTCTATAAAAAAAAATCGAGGTCATTCACCATGAGTTCCCTCTTCTCCTTCATCTCATATCTCTCAGATACCTTCTGTTACTGTAACTTCTCCTTCACTCCTCTCTCACATGAAGACGTGAGCTTACCATCTCTATACTTGTTCAAGAGAACCCATCCCATCCCTTCCAAAAGACTTGTGAATGTTTTTCTTTTAAACTTAAATACAAAATGAGAAAAGAAAAAAAACTGCCATGTACACAGCAGAACAGAAGAGAGGATTCAATATAACATAATAAATTTCCATTTCAAGAAAACATATAATACAGTTTTTTCTTTGCTTCCTTGGTTTTCTTTTGTTCTCTGCTGTGCACTTTGTACTTTATTTTTCCCCTTCTTCCCCCACCACTCTAAAGAAGGCTACAACTAAGTGTGCATATATACATACATATACACAGATATCTATGAACACACATGTATACACATATACACTGAACTATGCTTACTTCCTCCTATAATCTGTTTCTCTGAAGGTGGTTAGCACCTTCCTTCATAGGCCAAAGTCCTTCCATGTTTTTCTAACTTTACCAGCTCATCAATTCCTACAACCACAGCAATATTCCAACACAATCACACCTTATCTGAAACACTGTCTATGAAAGTTGCCCCCCCAATTTTCTGCATTCCTTCTATTCTTGGCTGCATACATTTTATTTATACAATAAAATTTTAATTCAAAATAATTTAAATTATCCTTTTTACACTTCAACAATGCTCTCACCTTATAATACAGTTTAAGTTTAATCACACCTCTCAGATGAGAGCCTTGCCTCATATTCTTTTTCTTGATTAATTTATTTTTAGTTTTCAACATGCACTTCCACAAGACTTTGAGTTCCAAATTTTCTCCCCATCTCATCCCTCCCCCCACTACGAGATGGCATGCATTCTGAGCACCCCTTCTCCTAATCTGCCCTCCCTTCTATCTCTACCCCCATTCTCTTATCCCCTTCCACTTCAATTTTCCTGTAGGGCAGGATAGATTTCTATACCCCACTTTCTGTATATCTTATTTCTCAGTTGCATGTGAAAACAATTTTTTTAAGCTTTTGTTTTTAAAATTTTGGGTTCCACCTTGCCTCATATTCTACAGAAAAAATCTGATACTGCTGAATCTACTTCCTTTTTTTGGGTTTTTTTTTTGGCAATTGGGGTTAAGTGATTTGCCCAGGGTCACACAGCTAGTAAGTATCAAGTGTTTGGTCTGAGGCCGCATTTGAACTCAGGTCCTCCTGACTTCAGGGCTGGTGCTCTATCCACTGTGCTGCCTAACTGCCCCTTGAATTTACTTCCTTTACATCTTTTTTCCTGGTTTCTTTGAAGTTCTTGACCTTTTGTTCTTCCAAATGAACTGTTATTTTTTCTAATTAAGTAAAATTTTTTTTTAGTAATTTAACTGGGATGACATTGAATAAATAGATTAGTTAAGTAAAACTGTCATTTAAAAATTTATACTATTTCAATTATTTAGATCTCAGTGTATTTGTATAAAAAGTGTTTTATGTTTATGTTCATATAGTTCCTGTGTCTGTTTTGGCAGGTATATATTCAGGTATTTTATACTGTCTAGGTATTTTAAATGGTTTAAAACAGTATTAAATAATATTACTGATATACAGTGTAGCTTTTCTATTTTTCACTTTTGATTAAATCTATTTTAACTTTAACTTTGTCTAAGATCATGATTACTATCCCTGCTTTTTTTACATACTAACTTCTGCTCCTGCCCTTTATATTATTTTTGTGTTTCTCTCTCATTTTTGTTGTTTCCTGAAAGCAACATATTGTCGAATTCAAATTTTTAATCTCCTATCCATTTCCATTTTATGGGTAAATTCATCCCATTCACATTCTAAGCTGCAACTGCTTGTAGTGTGTTTTCCTACTTCCTATTTTTCCTCATTATTCTTCTTACCCTATTTACCCTATCTCTCCTCACTCCTTTGCTTTACTTCTGCCTGCTACCTTGCCCTCCTATTTCTTAACCTACCCACCCCTCTAAAAGTCCTTCCCTTATCCTCTTCCCCCATCCTATCCCCTTACCCTCTTGTTTCTTTCTAAATTTAGAAGACTCGTATATGTACACACACATACACACACACACCCCTAACTCATTCCAGCACTACCTGTCCTCCCCCCTACTAGCTTCTTCTGTATCAGTTTTTCCTTTTATGTCACATTTGTATGAGATAATCACTCCTTTTTATCTCTCCCTACATAGTTTTATTTTTTTGGATCACCCCATCATATTCTACTCAGCCCAATCCTTTCTTTCAGATTACTCAAATAACTACTCAAACAATCATAAGAGTACTGCTAATATTTTCACATATACAAAGTAAACAATTTGTTCCTCATGGAGTCCCTTACAATTGGTCTTTATAGTTTACCTCATATTTCTCTTGGATGTTATATGTTGCATCTTCCCTTAAGTTCTAGGGTTTTTGTCACAAAAACCTGAAAGTCTTTCAGTTAGTTAAATGTCCATTTTTTTGTTTGTTTTTCATTTAGGATTACACTTCACTTTGTTGGGTAAGTTACCCTTGGTTCTTTTGCTCTACAGAATATAATACTTCCAGACCTATGGTCCTTCAATGTAGTAGCTGCTTGGTCGTGTGTAATCCTTATTGTAGCTCAATAATATTTAGATTGTTTCTTTTCTTGTTGCTTCCACTATTTTCTCCTTAACATGAGAACTTTGAAACTTGGCTATGATGTTCCTGTAAGTTTTGCTCCTGAGAGCTCTTTCAGGTGGTGATCAGAACATTTTTCCTTTTTCTACTTTGCCTTCTTGTTCTAGAACTTCAGGGCAATTTTCCTTGATAATTACTTGTAATATTACTGTATCAAAATTCTTTTTTTAAGTCACGATTTTCAGGTACTCTTGACTATTCTTCTCAATCTGTTCTCCAGATTAGTTGTTTTTCTGATGACGTTTCACTTTCTCTTCTATTTTTTTCATTCTTTTGATTTTGTTTTATGATTTCTTGGTGTCTTAGAATATCATTAGCTTCCCTTTGTCCAATTCTAGTTTTTAAGAAATTATTTTCTTCCTTAAGTTTTTGATTCTCTGCTTCTAGTTGGTTCACTTTCTTTTCATAATTTTCTTGATTTTCTTGGATTGTTCATATTTTTTTTCCTAATTTTTCCTTGATCTCTCTTATTTGATTTTTAAAGTCCTTTTTAAGTTCTTCCAAGAACTCTTTTTGTGCTTGGGACCATTTGATGGTTCTCAATGAAATAGGAGTGGCTTTTTTTTTTTGGCTCCATTATCTTCCTCTGAATATGAACCCAGATCTTCTCTATCCCCATAGTAACTATCTGTGGTTGGGTTCTTTCTCCTTTGCTTACCCATTTTATTTATTGATTGACTGATTGTTTTATTTTGTTGTTAGCAGCTGCTAGTGTAATCAAGTTCTGGTCCCAAAGTATGGGGAATGATGCCCTAAGCCTCAGATCCTTCCAACTGTTATTTTCTGAGGTCTGTCCTGGGGCCCAACCTTGGGCTCTCCTCTCTACTCCTAAGCCACAGCTAGGGCCCCCAGCCACACTTACCCACAAATAGTCTTGCTCCCTGTGGTCCCTCAGGGGCTACAAACTACAGCTGTTCTCTCTGCCTTGGAACTGAAACCAGGGACTCTGCTCTCCTGCGTGTGTCCACAGCCAACAGGGCTCCTGCCTCTCGCTACTACACTCACCAGGTGTGTGCTAGCTCCTTCTCCCTGCAGCCACAGTCTAGGACACATCTGGTCAGCACAGCTGTGCTTGATGTCCCTCAACAGTGGAAGGTCCTTCAGTCTTCTACTCAGCTGTCAGACATCCTCCTCAGCCCCCAACACTGTCCTTGAGATGAAAGTTTCTAAGGCTGGGACTGCCTCTTAACCCAGCTGCCCCCAGAACTTGTTTGTTGCTTCTGTGGAGTTGGCCTGGAGGTGTCTGCACTTCACTCAAGCCGAATCTCCACCAGGGGTCTTCTCAAATTGTCTCAGGAGAATAATTGTTTTACCCCTTGTTTATTTCTGCTGCTTTGAGGCTGCTGTTGCCTTTCTTTTGTGGAGGAAATACGGAGAGCCAAAAGTTTTCTGACCTACTCTACCATCTTTCCAGAATCCTCTCTTTATAACTAATTTTTGATCTTTCCTTGTCTCCTGGCTTCTTTCCTCTTTCCTACAAACATACCCATCATATCCTTCATCCTGAAAAAACCGCATTTGATCCTTCCATCCCTTAAATCATCCTATATCTCTTCTGCCCTTTAAGGCTAAACCTGAGAGTCACTCTCACCCTCCCCTATCAACCTCTGAAAGCTGAGAAAATATCACCCCAGGAAAAACCCTGGAACAGCTGAGCCAGAAGAAAGACGGGGAGCAGCAGTCCAGTAGCCTAGGTAACTTGAGGAATTAATGGGAAAGGCCCCTCTTGCCCTGGGAGAAGGGAAGCAGCACTGAATGGAGCCCCACTTTAGCACACCAGAAGGAGATCCTGAAACCCAGGGGGTAAAGCAGACAAACACCAACACCTGGGCCTCCGAGTGCCTCAGTGAGGGCGGGGGAACCAGTGGAAACCAGCTCAGAAAAACACCAGGTGCCTCAGCATTCTACAGCAAATGAGGTCTCTCAGTGCCTCAGCAAAAAATAAGGGAAGCAGCATACAAAGGGCCCCAGGCTAATAAACACCCTACAACATCCATCTGAAAGGAGCTGAAGAAAGGAAAAGCAGGCAACCTAGAGTTGCCCTAGAGTTCCAGCCCAACACCAGGTAAGCTGCCAGAACCCTACAGCCTCCATTTTGCTAGCACTGGAGGCCCCAGCACACAAAGCCAGTGACCAAGACCTAGGCTCCCAACACAAGAAGCTTGGGTCAGTGCCCTCTGCACCCCAGCAGGAGAGCTCAATCTCTTTAAAGGCCAGGAAAAATCAAACACCATGAGCAATAAAAAACGTACCATAGATTCATATTATGAGAACAGTGAAGATCAAGGCAGAAATTCTGAAGAGGACAACATTGTCAGCAAACCCACATATGGAACCTCAAAAGGGACTATGAACTGGTCTGAAGCCCAAAAAGCCTTCTTAGAAGAGCTTAAGAAGGATTTTAAAATCCAAATGAGAAAGGTAGAAGGGTCCTTAAAAAATACAATTGGCCAACTGGAAAAAAAGTACACTGAAGAAAACAAGTCCCTAAAAAATGCAACTGGACAAATGGGGAAGGAGGTACAAAATCTAATAGAAGAAAACAATTTGTTAAAAATTAGAATCAGGCAAATGGAAGCTAATGACTCTATGAGAGAGCAAGAATCAGTCCAACAGAAACAAAAAAAAAGAAAAAAATAGATGAAAACGTAAAATACCTCACTGGTAAAAAAAAACTGACCTGGAAAATCGATCCAGGAGAGACAATTTAAAAATTATTGGTCTACCTGAAAATCACGATGAAAAAAAGAGCCAGGACAGTATCTTTCAGGAAATCATAAAGGAAAACTGCCCTGAGGTCCTAAAACCAGAAGGTAAAAGAGCCATAGAAAGAATCCATCAATGACCTCCTGAAAGAGATCCCAAATTGAAAACGCCAAGGAATATAGTAGCTAAATTCCATAATTACCAGGTCAAAGAAAAAATACTGCAAGCAGCCAGAAAGAAATATCATGATACTACAGTCAAGATTATACAGGACCTTGCAGCTTCTACGGTGTAGAACATGATATTCCATAAGGCAAAGGAGCTTAGATTACAATCAAGGATCAGCTACCCAGCGAAAATAAGCATGATCTTTCAGGGGAGGAGACGGATAGTCAACAAAATAGGGGACTTCCAAACCTTCCTGATAAAAAGACCAGAGCTCAACAGAAAATTTGATCTTCAAGTACAAAACTCAAGAGAGACATAAAAGTTAAATGGGACAGAAACATAACAATATGTTGTTAATAAGGGCAAACTGTTTACATCCCTACAAGGGACATGACACTTGTAACTCTTGAGAACTATATTGTTATTACACCACGTTACAAAAAGGGGGTGGGTATAAATTGACTTTGATGTGATGATAAAAAAAAATCTAACCAAGTGGGTTAAATGGATCCAAATAAGTGGATTAATCTGATCTAACTAAGAAAATTGTACTGAGAGAAAAGGAAAGGAGGAGACAGACAAGGGTAAATTACATTACAGGAAAAGGCACAAAAACCTATTACAGCACAGGGAAAGAAGGGAGGGAGATGAGCATTGTTTGAACCTTGCTCTCATCAAATTTGGCTCAAGAAGGGAATAACATAATCAGTTGGGTATAGAAATCTAACATGCCCTATAGGCAGTAGGAGGGAAAAGGGGAAAGAAAAGGGAGTCGGGATAGAAAGGAGGGAAGAAGCAGTAAGGGTAAAGGGGAAGAAAAGGAAAAGGGCTAACAGAAGGAAGAAGGGACTAAGTGAGGCGGTGATCAAAAGCAAAACGCTAGTGAGGAGGGAAAAGGAGAAAGAAAAGCATAAACGGGGGAAAAAGGATGGGGAGAAAGACACAGATAGTAATCATAACTGTGAATGTAAATGGGATGAACTCTCCCATAAAATGGAAGCAGACAGTAGAATGAATTAAAAACCATAATCCTACAATATGTTGTTTACAGGAAACAGATCTGAAGTTTTCTTTCCTCTTTCTGGTGGTTCCTCCTATTGGTTCTAATTCTTACTTACAACATCACTAATGTGAAAATATGTTTAATAGGAATGTATATGTATAGCCTATATCAGATTGTGTGCTGTCTTGGTGAGGAAGGGGGAGAAAAAATTAAAACTCAAAAGCTTATAAAAGTGATTGTTGATAAATCAAAATAAATTAATATAGAATAAATTTTTAAAAAAACACTTAACTTGAAAAGGCCATCTACAATAGGTACCTTTCTCTCTCTCTTACTCTCACTCTTCTTAATCCATTGCAATCTGGCTTCCAATTTCATCTGCTCTCCAATTTCAAACTGCTCTCTCCAAAATTACCAATGATCTCTTAATTTCCAAATCCAATGGGCTTTTCTCAATCCTCATTCTCTTCAACCACATTACAGCCTTTGATACTGTTGATCACTCTCTCCTTGATACTTTCTTCTCTCTAGGTTTTTTACACATCACTCTCTCTGGTTCTCCCACATTTCAGACAACTCTGTCACTGTGTCCTTGGCTGGATCCTCACCTAGGTCATGCCATCTAATGATAGACAGATGTCCCACAGGGTTCTCTCCTGAGCCCTGTTCTTTTCTCCCTCTTCTCTCAAGGAAAATTGCCCTGAAGTTCTAGGACAAGAAGGTAAAGTAGAAATAGAAAAAATGCACTGTTCACCACCTGAAAGAGATCTCAGGAGGAAAACTTATAGGAACATCATAGCCAAATTCCAAAGCTCCCATATAAAGGAGAAAATAGTGGAAGCAACAAGAAAAAAACTCCCTCTTGGGGCAGCTAGGTGGCGCAGTGGATAAAGCACTGGCCCTGGATTCAGGAGGACTTGAGTTCAAATTCGGCCTCAGACATATAACACTTACTAGCTGTGTGACTCTGGCCAAGTCACTTAACCCCACTGTCTAACTAAAAAAAAGCAAAAAACCCCCCAAACAAACCAACTAAAAAACCTCCCTCTGAGTTCCCATGCATTTCATTCTCTTTTCTATGCTGATTTTCAAATTTACCTATTCTGCCCCAACTTCTCTCCTTACCTTTAAAAGTCTCATTTCCAACCGCCTTTCAGACATCTCAAACTAAACATATCTAAAATCATTAAATTTATCTTTCCCTCAAACATTCTCCCCTGTCCCCGTTTCCTATTTCTGTCAAAGGTAACACCATCCTCCTACTCTCTCAGGCTCACAACCTAGGAGTCATTCTGCAATCCTTACTCTCTCATCTCCCATATCCAATCTGTTGCCAAGGCCTGTTGAGTTCACCTTTGCAACATCTCTCAAATATGTTCCCTTCTCTCCATACCCTGGTACAGGACCACCTGCTTCAAGCCTCTCCCTGCTCTGTCCACCCTCCAGCTACCAAAGTAATTTTCTTGAAGTGCAGGTCTGACCATGTCAAGCCTCCACTACTCAATAAACTCCAGTGGCTCCCTGTTGCCTCCAAGATCAAATATAAAGTCTGTTTTTAAAATCTCATTTTCTACAGAAAGCCTTTCCCAACCCCTCTTAAATAGTGCCTTCCTTCTTTTAATTATTTCCTATTTATGCTGTAATTCAACTTACTTGTACATAACTGTTTGCTGCTCCCATTAGATTGTGAGTTTCTTGGGGACTGGGAGTGTCTTCTGTCTCCCCAGTGCTTAGCATAATGCCTGGCACATAACAGGCACTTAATAAGTGCTTACTGACTGATGACAGCCCTTCCCCACCCAGACCTTATTGTTATACACAGCACTGCCTTGCCTAGGTTCTCATTTGTACATCTGATATATTATCCTACTGAATTCAAAATGAATTCCAGGGTCCTTACCATTCCAGTATCCTCTGTTCCTGGAGACTGTATCCAGCTGGCAGCAAGTAATTTCGATAGTTCTGGAGCTGGTTAGCATGGCAGCTGTCATGGACCCAGACATGAGACACACAAGGTATCCCACTGGCAAGGCACAAGAAGTACTTCCGAGTCCGACAATGCTGATCCGCAATCAGAAGACACTGATAGGCCACATTACACTGGGAAGGAAGAAATTCAGCTGATATGCTCAATGATTTTGTTCTAAGATGGTCCCTAAAAGGTAGTCCCAAAAAAACTGAGAAGGGAGCTAAGATGTAGCCCTCTAAACAGTAACAAATGTGCCTTAGCCCATCCAGCTGCCAAAAAGCTTCATCTTCCCCCTTTATGCAACTCACCAAACCTCCAGATGCCCTAATACCCCAGCAGAGATTCCTATAACAGCAGTCTACATACTAAAAATCAGAAATGTGAAGCAGAAATTTCTTTCAAATTCAAATCCCCCTCTTTTCTGTTTCTAGCAATAGCATTCTCCCTATACTAAGCCTAAACTGTATTCTCTACTCACCCCAAAAATTCCTTCTCGCAGCATCTGCCAAAGAGCAACTTCTCAGTTCCCCACTTGATCCCTCTCTCTCAAAAGTGAGCAGGTTCTCTCACCACCACCATTCTAGCAAGTTACACAGGAAGAAAACACTCACCTGGGCTTCATTGAAGTCTTCAAGAATGTAGCCAGCTCCTGCTCGAAGCTGGGACTCTGTATACTGCTTGTTGTAAGGGGGAGTTTCCAAAAATTCTATATCAAGTAAGAAGAACCAATAAAATCCAATTATTGCCAGAAACATCTCGTTTGTTCTCTCCTATTTTATACTTGGCTTCCTACTACCCACTCTCCCACTCCCCAGCTGCCTCCAAAGCCAGTTCAAGGGCCTCCCCATGGATCATAAGAATTCTTGAAAGGTAGAAAAGGCTGCCAGAAGAAAGGGTGGTGGGATAGTTGAGGAACGGAGACAGGACAATAAAACTGGAAGGAACATCAAGAGTCCTCCCAGTCAGGCCTGCATCTAAACCATGGCTGCTTATAGGGACTGAAATTCCACAACTTCCCAGAGTAGTCTGTTTCAATGTTTCATAACCCTTACCGTCAGGAAGTTCTTCCTTATGTCTAACCTAAATCTCCTGCTGCAAACTAAGCCCATTTCCTCTAGTTCTGTCCTCTGTGGAGATGAAGAATAGCTGATCAGCACTCTCTTTATATAAACCTTCAAATTCCCCCTCATTCACATTCTTTTCCCCCTATACACTAAAACTTCAATATACCAAAATGCTGGGGGGCAGGGAAGGGGGGGTGCGGCCAGGGGGAAGAGATATTCCAGTTTACTTTTCTGGTTTCTGTGGATTATCCAGAAAAATCGCTTTCTTTCAATTTTTGTTGTTAAAAAATCTTTTCAAAATATATTACTAGCCAGCTTTCCTGTCTTAGTAAAGGATAATAAAATATAACTTGTTATTTGATAAATCAGATTACAGTGATTAAGATAAAACCTCAATATTAATGATTATCATATAATCTTGAAGTTGCTATAGAAGAGGACAATCACTAATACCAGGCTATATCCTGAAAGCTTTTGTTGTTGTTGTTGTTTTTAAACAAATCCTTAATCAGAGTTTTTTTTTTTCTTTTGGGTCATTCACTCCTCTCTGATGTGAATGGAGTATAAAGATGACAAATGAGAGAGAAAATTCTGGTTAAGGCTTCTAGCCAACTGGATTCTGATTAATTGAAGTTTTAATGTAAAAAACAAAACAAAACAAAAACAATCCAGTGCATGATTTTCTATTTCAACCCTCCACCCTCCCCATCAAAAATTTCCAGAAATAATCCCCTTATCCTATAATAATAGCTCATATTTATATATAATGCTTTTAAGTTTATAAAGCACCTTCCTCAAAACAACCATTGTAAGGTACACAGTGAAGTCTTATCTTCATCTTAGAGAAGAAACTAAGACAGAAATGTTAAGATACTTGCCTAAAGTCACACAGCTAATAAGTAGGAGAGCTAAAAATTGAACCTAGGTATCCTATAGCTGGGTACACTATTCTCTCCACTATTCTATGTTAAGTATAAAACAGTACTCCAGTAGAAAATGAGAGATGCAGGACCCTGCTTCCTGTACCACTTCATACACTTAGGCAACTCCCTGAGCCAGTATTTACATCCAATACCTCAACCTATTTAAATTTTTCTCAAAGATCCTATTGGCTATTTCACTAATTATTTCTCTTTTGTTAAGACTCTAGCTATTCTATATCCCTCTTAAAATAAACATTAAAATAGAACATCTATAAAGGTCTGACCCAACACTGTGAAAAGAAAAAGTATTACTTTCATCTGTCAATACGCTATACCATCATGCCGACTTAATATTATACCATGATGATAATCCATATTCAGCTTGTAGTACATGAGTAATTTCAATTTTTTTTTGTTATAGGCTTGCCTAGTTTTGTGTCTATTTAGATTTTAACCCCCAACACTACTATCTTACATACTTCTTCAATTTGTCCCAGTTACTATGGATTCAGTAACTATATTTGGAGATATAATTTGCCCTACCTGATGGGGTGCAAACAAAAGCTGAATGGATTCTTAACAGTCCTAGAACAACAACTTTGAAACATCACCCCATAAAAATCCCTAGGATGACCTCATGTTCCTTCCCTTCTCAGAGTCTATTACTTGGGAATCAATGCTGTTACATGATTATAGTACATGAAAATGAGGACAATGAAATGGGGACTTTTATCATCAAAATTCTTAAAGGTGAGGAGCAGAAGGCTGGGAGAAAGAGAAGCAAGAAGGGAGAAAGAATATGAATGAGAATAAGATTTGGCAGTATCAGGAAGGTAAAGAAAAATAAGGCCCCAAATGTCAATGTCCCCTTTTCAGAACACAAATTATCTATAGAATCAAATTCAAATATGTAATCAACTTAAAAGCCTGTTAACAAACTATATATTAATGGACTCAAATGACTTCTACTTCTATAATACCTCAATTCTCTTTTGTGGGGAAAACCTATCCACTTTCTGTCCCTTACCTGCCCTATTCATTCTCCAAGTAATAAAACATACCACTAGTACCAAAAAATAACCACAATCACGTCTCTTTTCTGCTAAAATGATTCCCTGTAGCCTTCCTAGATGTCTCCAGCAAATCCTGACCCTCTTTAAATTTTTCCCATTTCTCTGAATATTTGGCACTTATCAGAAAATCCAAATTTTGGCTGATATTCAACTAATCTTAACATTGTACAGGGAGGTCTGGCTAATGTTAAATATTCAGAAAAATAGCTTATTCATTAACTGGGTTTAGAGACACATCTCTGAAGTGCTAATTTAATTGTTGATCATTAATGGTGCTACTTTCATAATACTACTGCCAAATTCAGTTTGCTCTTCCGAGGGTGAAGATCAGCCAGAAATCTGTAGCTAGTATTCAAATATCACATTAGACAAAAGTCTGTATTATAACCATAATGGACAGACTGATGTGTTGTTGTCAGCCATTCATATTTAAATTCACACTTGCCTTCTTTTATGAGTCTTAAGACTCAAGACTTTCTGAAGGCATGGAACAAATCTTCCTTGTAATTCCCCATGATATTATTAACATAACTGTACATTTAGTTTGTGGTCAAATGGATGAAAAATGTCTAGAAATTGCTTACTGAAAATACTCAAAGAAGACCTGCTACCACCACATACCCACCCTTCCGAAGTCCTCTGAAAGCCACAGTCACCTTTATCCCCTTCCACCAGTTTTGCTATGGTCTTTTCCTTGAAACTTTGGATAGGAAAGATGACAGACTATTTAGAAGAAGGCATATTTGCTTTTCTCCATTCCTTAATTCAGGATTAATTTCTACTCGCTTTGGAGCCTCTACACATCACAAAGTGGACCAACCACAGGCTTACAAAAGAAGCAGAGCAGCTACAATGAATATGAGAGAACTGTGAAGCTATGTCAGAAACCCACAAATTTCCACGGGAAATGAGGACAGTAGTCTCACCCTCCTCTTCCTCACTGCTCCCAGTAGGACCATCTGGCAATTTAGAGCGGCTGACTAGCTTATCATTGGCTGTGGCCATGGTGAGAAGAAAAGCATAGCCCAGAAACAAGGTCTTGTTGTGGGGCAATGGTCCCCTCTGGTCTTCCAAAGCTAATGGCTCTCCAGCATTGTCTCCACCCTCACATGGACTCACAAACTCTCCTACTCCCACAGTACCTGGGTAAGAACAAAAACAACATTATTACAAAGAACTCTGACTTTGTACCAGAGCCAAGGAACCTAGAATGCAGTGTTCTACACAGAGTAGGCACTTTAAATGTTTGTTAAATTGAATATGTCCTACCTGCCTGAGTACAAAGTAGTATACAACATTCCACTCTATTTTGTTTAGTTCTGAGCAGACAACCATGTTACATGAGCAAAAAACAAAAACAAAAACAACTATGTAGACTGAACATACGTGAAAATTTTATTTTTAACTTAAATAAAAATCATAATAAAATCAATGACACAATGATATGCATAAAATGAAAAATCTTTCGGTACACAAAAATAATTTAAAATTTTACACACCAAACCAAATATTTATTGGACTAGCTAGGATAAGATTCATGGCCATTAGAACCCCGCCCCAGGCAGTGTCTGTCAATTTCCTCTTTCCTACTACAGAGGCCCACTATGTTGGTTCCAAATTTCAGGGTCTGGTCTGTTACTGTTTCCAGTACCTGCGAAGTGGGTGCACTTGTTACCTGAGGGCTTATGACACATCCAGATTTGTTTGATCCCCTTTGTTCAATTTCCGGGAATAAAAGAAAATGGATATTTATGTCAGGAAAACTGACTGTAAAGCTCATATGAAGACTAAGATGACAGGCAACTTTTTCTCCAGATAAAATATGAAACTAGAAAGAAGCTTGCTTCTAGGGACATTTTGATACCCAGATGAAGATACAACTAACAAATATGAACACAAAAACAGCTACCTTTTCAATAAAATTTAATACTGTAGTTTAATCAAACTGCTTTCCTAACTCCCAGTACCAAAGGAATAAGAATTCACTAGAGGTGACAAGATTGGAGGAACCACTGGAACACGGAACACAGGTTAGTAAAAGCCATATGAAGTGCTATAGTGAAGAGGTTCTAGACAGTCAGTGTACATCATGAGATAATAAACTCTCAGGTTTTGAGGGCAAATGAGACACCAAACAGCACATGTACCATGAGAAAGTGACAATAACAAACTTCAGCTCCTTCTAAGTTTTGCCCACAGTCAGCCCTGATTCCTTTCCCTGCCCCACCCCCACTACACCCATCACAAAAATTATCATTTAAATATTTCAGATATTATCTCAGTTCCCTCGTTACCTTACTCTGTCAAGAATATTGTGGTGAGAGGATAGAAAGGGAGTGCTTAACTCCTCAATAAGCTGGAGTGTCCTAAAATAGGAGGCTATATATGAAAGTATTTTATGCCCTGTATAGTGAATATGTGTACAGCACATATCAGTAGCACAGAAGGCCACATAATTAACACTACTTTTTATAATACTTTCATTACCTTTTGCCAAGGGTCCTACCCTTTGCATGTCATGGAGGTATCTGGAAGAATCTGAAGGAAGAGGATTTACCCGGTTTTATCATGGTAGACTTGCGGCCTCGCTTGGCAGGGGATCGATCTTCTTCAGAGCATATCAGTTTCCTCTTGCCAGAGAGAAGTCCCATGGAAACTCGAGGACTTTCAAGGGCTTTACGTGGAGGAGTGGTGGTGGCACTGCTGCTGGAGGTAGTGGGGGTGCCTGGGGAGTTGAGGTTACTTCGTCGTTTCCGCTTACCCTCCACCAGATTATCTGTAACCAAATAAGACAGAAAATAATTAGTTCTCACTGTCTGAGGCCCTGAACCCATCCCTCACACCTTTCACTGCAGCATAAAACACATTCTAGGGCCATTCCATTTTCTGTTTCACACCTCCGTGGCTGAAGATTTGTTTTATCTCTTGCTGAGCTATTGAAGCAAGAAGAAGCTTAAGGATTTCCTAGAAGGTGGGGCAGGCATGTGCTCCATGTGCTTCAGTGTAGCCCCACGGAAACGCCAAAAAACTCCACTGGACCTCAGCACATGCCAGATAGCACCACTAGGACCTCGGCTCAGAACCAGGTAAATTACCAGACCCCTATAGCCTCTAGCCACCAGCACCTAAGGTCCCAGCACACAAAGCCAGTGGCCAGGCCTCTGGCCCCCAGCACAAGAAGCTTGGGAGAGTGCCCCGACAGTGCCCCTGCTCTCCAGCAGGAGAGCTCAACTTTAAAAGCTAGTAAATAGGGGCAGCTAGGTGGCTCAGTGGATAGAGCACCAGCCCTGAAGTCAGGAGGACCTGAGTTCAAATCTGGCCTCAGACCAAACACTTGACACTTACTAGCTGTGTGACCCTGGGCAAGTCACTTAACCCCAATTGCCTTAAAAAAAAAGAGAGAGAGAGAGAGAAAAGAAAAAAAAAGGCTATTAGTAACTCCTTTAAAAAAAGAAAAAACTAGTAAATAGGCCAAAAAATGAGCAATAAGCAAAAACAAACACTGACAATAGAAAGTTACTATGGTGACAAGGAAGATCAAAACACAAACTCAGAAGAGGCCATTGTCAATATGCCTACATCTGAAACCTCAAAGCGGAATATGAATATGAAGGCCCAAAAAGCCTTCTTAGAAGAGCTAAGAAGGATTTTAAAAGTCAAATAAGAGAGGTAGAAGAAAAACTGGGAAAAGAAATGAGAGGTATGCAAGAAAGAGTCAACAGTTTGGAAAAGGAAGGACAAAAACTGACTGAAGAAAACAATTCCTTAAAAAGCAGAACTGGAAAAGGAGGTACAAAAGCTAACTGAAGAAAATAATTCCTTAAGAATTAAAATTGAGCAAGCAGAAGCTAATGACTGTATGAGACATCAAGAAACAGTCAAACAAAAGCAAAAGAATGAAAAAAATAGAAGAAAATGTAAAATACCTCATAGAAAAACAACTGACCTGGAAAACAGATCCAGGAGAGATAATTTAAGAATTATTAGACTACCTGAAAGCCACGATAAAAAAAAAAAGTCTTTGACAGCATCTTTTAAGAAAACTGCTTTGATATCCTAGAACCAGAGGGTAAAATAATCATTGAAAGAATCCACCTATTAAAATAAATTAGTTAAATTAAATTTAAAAAAAAAGAATCCACCTATTCCCTCCTGAAAGAAATCCCAAAATGAAAACTCCAAGGAATTAATTGTAGCCAATTTCCAGAATTATCAAGTCAAGAAGAAAATACTGCAAGCAGCCAGAAAGAAACACTTTAAATATTGTAGAACCACAGTCAGGATTACACAGAACTTAGCAGTTTCTAAATTAAAGGATCAGAGGGCTTGGAATATGATATTCCAGAAGGCAAAGGAGCCTGGATTACATCCAATAATCAACTACCCATCAAAACTGAGCATAATTTTTCATGGAAAAAGATAGACATTCAATGACATAGAGGATTGTCAATCATTCCTGATGAAAAAAACCAGAGCTAAACATAAAATCCAATCTTCAAATAAAAACTCAAGAGAAGCACAAAAAGGTAAACAGGAAAGAAGAAAAACATTATTCAATAAGGTTAAACTGTTTACATCCCTACATGGGAAGATGATACTTATTATAACTCTTGAGAACTGTATGTTTATTAGTATAGTTACAAGGGGTACACATAGACAGAGATTGTAGGTATAAATTGACTTTGATGTGATGATAAAAAAAATTAAGGAGTGAAAAAAAGGACTGTACTGGGAGAAGAGGAAAGGGGGAGGCAGAATAGGATAAGTTACATCACATGAAGAAATGCAAAGACCTATTACAGTAGAGAAAAGGGGGGGGCGGGGCGAGCATGGTTTGAACCTTACAGTCATTGTATGTGGTTCAAAAAGGGAATAACAACATAGTCAACTGGTTAATGAAATCTAGCTTACCCTATAGGAAGTAGGAGGAGAAAGGGGAAAGTAAAGGGAGATGGGTGGATAGAAGGGAGAGCATAAATAGCAGGAGAAAGGGGAAAGAAAAAGGAGGGGGGTTGATGGAAGGGAGAGCAGACTGAGGGAGGTGGTGGTCAGAAGCATAACACTGGCAAGAAGGGAAAGGGTGAAAGGAGAGAGAAAAGTACAAATGGGGTAGGGGGGAAATACGGTGGAGAGAAAGAGACAGTTAGTAATCATCACTATGCATGTGAATGGGATGAACTCTTCCATAAAACAGAAGTGGATAGCAGAGTGGATTAAAAACCATAACCCTACAATATGTTGTTTATAAGCAGAGATATACACAGAGTACAGGTAAAAGACTGGAGCAGAATATATTATGCTTCAGCTGAAGTAAAAAAAGCATTGGTAGCAATCCTGATCTCACACAAAGCAAAAGCAAAAATAGATCTAATTAAAAGGATTTACTAGAAGTGCTGGGAGGGGGAGGGGAATAGGAATAGACAGTGGCCCAGGAAAATGCACCTGATCTCCATCTGATCAGCCACAAGCGGATATAACAATAACAAAGTTAATGAAGTTTTACTCAAGCTACCCAAAAAACTGCCTTTTAATAACATGCTTGACAAGGCCTCTTGAGATTAGCTGCACAGAGAAAATAGATCTTACCCAAGCTAATGTCTGCTGCCTTGGTGAGGGGCGTTACTGGCTCATATGGACCAAGCCCGAATTGCTCCCTCAGTTTGTTCCCTTGTTCCAAAGATAAGATAACTGCCATTCGCTTGTACCATTTCCTTTGGCCTTCTTTTTCAATACTGTAGTATAATTCCCCAGATTCCTTTCTGTGTCCTTTTACCACACCTGAGAAGAAAAACAATAAAGGAAAGCTGTTGCCAGTAACGCCATTCCACACAGTCAGATATCTGTGTTCACTCTGTGCTCTGCCCAGTGAGCCTAAACCAGATGGCTCAACCACTAGAAAGCTGGGATGACTAAACACTAGCTGTCACAACTAGTGCACTACCATCCAAAATATATTCAGCTACTACATCTGGGCTGGGGTAAGGAAGGTTCTAGGGTATCAGAAAGGACTCTTGCATGACAGCTATTAAAGTTATTTCCCAAGCCACTACTGGCTTTTCGATGATTCTAATAGTTCTCTCAAAGTTATGTACTGTAAACAGTAGTTGACAATAACTCATTAGTCCTTTTTGATTTTGTTTCTTTGGGAAGTATACACCTTACATTCAGGTATGGAGTTGGTGGGCATCTTAAGAAACTAGAGAGAAATTAGACAAGAGGAAGCTAAGACAAGCTAGTTCGAAGCAGAAATATGTCTTTCCTGTCTGCTCCTGTCTCACTCTACTTTTGGCCCCATTGCTCTAATTCTTTTTTTTTCTTTTTTTTCCTTAATAGTATTTTTTCCAATTACATGTAAAGATAGTTTTCAACATTCATTTCTGTAAGATTTTAGTTCCAAATTTTTCTCTCTCCCAAACAGCAAGCAATCTGATATAAGTTATACATGTACAATCACGTTAAACATATTTCCACATTAGTCATGTGTGAAAGAAGAATCAGAACAAAAGGGAAAGACCATGCCATTGCTCTAATTCTGATCCAAACTGTAACAAGCACTTCTTAGAAAAAGAGTACACAGGGGCAGCTAGGTGGTGCAGTCGATACAGCACTGGCCCTGAAGTCAGGAGGACGTGAGTTCAAATGTGACCTCAGACCAAATACTTGACAGTTACTAACTGTTTGACCCTAGGCAAGTCACTTAACCCCAATTGCCTTAAAAAAAAATTCTTCTTGGGGCAGCTAGGTGATGAAGTGGATAGAGCACAGGCCCTAGATTCAGGAGGACCTGACTTCAATTCCAGCCTCAGACACATAACATTTACTAGCTGTGTGACCCTGGGCAAGTCACTTAACCCCACTGCCTAGCCAAAAAAAAAAAAAAAGAGTACACAACGGTATGAATAGAAATTGGGGTAAAATTTAGGAGACCTGGGTTCTAATCTTGATTCTATCACAACCTAGCTTTGTGAAATCCTGAGCATTACCCACCCTCATAAGAATCCTGTTTATCAATAAAACCAATATGCCAAACTTGCTGGGTTATTGTGATATCAAAAAGTTAATTGGAAAGAGAGTTTTAAAAAAAAAAGGAATCTTCACACCACCCTCAAATCTATAATCAGAAGAACCCATTTTGTTCTATTCTTCTGGCTTATGTTAGGTTATAGAACTGGGAAAATCCTATTTCTAACACATGAGAAACTTACTCTCAGAATCCTGTATCACAGCCTTGAGACAAAAGAATAGGAAAGAGAAAATAAGACTCAGTTCTGCTCTTTATCATAAATTTCTTTACAATCCTTCCTGAACCCCACCAAACTATAGAACTCAACAAGAGAAATCACAAGACTCAAAAGAAAACACAAGAAAGCCAAGAATCAATTAATCAGGGTAAGAGCTACATAATACTTCATAGTCTTACAAAGAAACGAATTAAAAAACCAGCCACCGGTACTGACTTTTAGAAATAATTTTGAGAGCTCAAAGAGACAAAATTAAATTACTTTCTCCAGAATTTATTCTGAAGACAAGAGCATCTATATCTTTGGTGTTTAAAGAGCTAAATGTGGATCTTCAAGAGCTGTATTCTTACATAAAACAAAGTATTCAGAATTTGGTACATGTGTATATTTGGTATATGTCTGGAACATAAATTAGTATATATTTTAGACCAAATTTTTGGTATTTATTGTGTTTCATATATTTGGTAGAATTCCATCAGTCACAGGACCAAAAAAAAAAGGAACTCTTTATCAGACATCATCTCTCTAAATTGCTTTGCCATCAAAAACTATAAGATGAGCAAGCCTAACTCCAAACTGAAAAGAGCAAGCAATAGAAACTCAAAATAAAAGATTCCTAATGATAAAATATTGCCTGGGTTCTCAGAAACAAAATAATTTTCCCCCCATCATCTAAGGGAAAAGAAAACCTCTAAGCAAGGCAAATCATTTCTAAGTAACAAAAGAACAATGACATGTTATTACCAGTTTAATCCATAAAGAGGGAACAATGAAATGCACAGAGCAGAAAAGATCCCCACTGCCTACCCCTCAGAAAGTTATATCTTAGAGGGGAGGGGATGAGGACAGAAAGTCAGGTCTTCAAACCAGAAAAACCTGGGTAGGGGCACTTTTGTACACATGTAAACACACACAGACAAAGTATAACTTTTTACTAAGTGCAGTTATTTGATTTGTTTCAGCTGCAGTCATCTATCTGGTTTCATCAAGACAGACAGTAAATCAAAAAGGAAGTGACTGGAGCGGCTAGTTTGGGGTGAAGAGGATTTCTGACCTCAACCTAATGAGTAGTCAGGTTCAGTAATGGGTGAAAGCATCCTACGTATCCAGGGACACATTGTTCTGTTAAAGACCTTGCTCCTGGGGCAGCTAGGCTGCACGGTGGATAGAGCGCTAGCCCTGAAGTGAGGAGGACCTGAGTTCAAATCCAGCCTCAGACCCAACACTTGACACTTACTAGCTGTGTGACCCTGGGCAAGTCACTTAACCCCAACTGCCACCCCCCCACACAAAAAAAGACTTTGTTTCTTTCATTACCTGCACTGAAATACTCATCCTCCGAAAGGGCTGTCACTTCTGTCTCCAGCGGGATAGGGTCACACAACAGAATGTCTTTGCCCAACACATCACACTCGTACCCATCATCAAAAAGCAGCTTATACTTCCCAGCTCCAACATCTCGTGTTATTTTCCCAGAGTAAAAATAGCCATTGGAGGACCACTTGGCTACAACTCGGAGCCCTACAAAGCTGTTTCCTGGAGAAGAGGAGTCTAGGCCGTCAGACGGGCCAGCAACAACCTGCAAAGGAATCTCTGGAGAGTCGCTGCGGCGTAAGACTCCAGTACTGCCATCTGCTCGTTTGTTGGCATCTGGCATACGGGGTACAATGCGAGTGAAGGGTTTATCATCTGGTGAGACACTTGTTGAGATATCCTCAACACCAAGTGGGCTAGGCAAAGCTGTTTCTCTGAAAAGGAAATATGAAGTGAGAATGAGATAAAAGACACATGTACCTTAACTTCTAATTTCCCCACTTCTTTAGAGAATAGGCAGAATAATAAGCCAATGATCTCAACAGTTGTGAGTCTGATCTTTCAGTTGCTCTCATTTTTACCTCAATCATCTTGCAATTCAAAATATACCCCGTTTTCCCTTCTAAAACCCTATATACTTTGGCCTCCTCTTTCCACTCTCTTCTCCTCTTTTAATGAACAAATAACCATTTAAGTACATCTCGCAGTACCCAAATACCTGGTTCCAGTTGTCCGAGAAGGAGGGCGGCCCCTTCGCCCTCTGCCACGAGGTGTGACTGGAGTTTTTCCTCCTTGTCTGATGCCAAGGCCTGCATCACCATCCTCCTCACACACAGGTGCCCCTATCTGAGTGACCCCTTTTCTAGGACTGTAGAATGAAGGCAGGTTAGTCAGAGAGCATCTTTTAGTGAATTTTTTTTAAAGTCTTCTCAAAACCCCCAGTCCTTTTTTCTCCATGTGCCAGGCTACAGGCCAGGCCAACATATAGTAGCCCCTAATCCCAATGATAAGCTAGTACATCAGTCAAATCTCAGTCATGAAATGGAAGTGAGTAAAAATAGAAAGGAGGAAGAAGAAATGAAGAATTTTCTTCTTCTCTATGATAAAGTTAAATGCCTCCCAAAAAATTTTCTGAGTAACCATCAAACTCAGCAAATCTACTTCTGCTCCTGTCCTGCCTTTCTGTCCATTACAAATTCTGCATCAGAAAGCAAAGAGCCAGTGTGGAGTTACCACCCCAAATCTCTGTTTCACTCCTCATAAAAACAATGGACTTAAAGAAATGAGAGAAGCAGCATGGTTGTAGTGGGAAAAGCTTTGGATCTGGCATCAGAAAACCTGAGTCTGAATTCTCCCTCTGCTACTTACTATTTGTATGAATTTAGGTAAAGAACCTAATTTCTCAGGCCCCAGTTTCCTCATCTGAAAAATGAGTAGTTTGAACTCTATAATATTTAAGGTCCTTTCCACTTCTATATCTATATGATCCCATGGTTTCCAAGGCAGTTCCTAAGAAGCAGGGAAAGAAGCATGGGAATAACATACCCCCACTGCTCCTAATACTCACATACCTCCCAATACTTTTGCCATCAGGAGCTGATCAGGGTCTCTGGCCTATGAAGGAGGTTACTTTGCTAGCAGAATGAAGGCCTGCAGCTTCAGAATGATAGGCTCACACTGATCCTCCAGCAAGTATCTTAACTGATCAGCTAAAAGTACCCTAAAGAAGCACCACCTACTACAACAACCCAAAAGCAAGGGAGGAAAAGGGAACTAATTTAGTCTGGGGCAGGGGGGCAGGGAGGACTGGCAAAAATCTGTCTAACTCCCTCTCTGCCATTCTCATCACTCCCCTTTTTCTTATGAAGTTAAATCCTTCTACCCCTCAGCCTCCTCATCCCACCCTAAGCCCATGTCTCTCCCTCTGGATCCAATATCAGCACCTCAGTTTTCCTGGGCCTCCTCGAGTGCTGGGTAAGGCAAAATCTGCAGGTTCTGGCCCACTTGTTTTCCCTTTGACAAGTCCAGCTCCCTTCCCTGAGCTGCTACTGCTATGTGCAGCTGAGAGGCCACTGCTTGCTCCACTTGACATTCGGTTCAAGCTGGATGCCTTGGAGGAAAAAGAGCTGATATCCCCTAGGTCTCCTGAGGAGCCACCAGTTTGCGATGGAGAGACTTCAGTCTCACACTCTTGACACTCCACCACTGGTTCTTCAGCCTCCTAGAAGGAAAAAGAGAAAATAAAGTTAAGAGGAATTACATTAAGACAGTGCATTTTAACTGACACATTAGGTTAAAATGAGTGACGTCAAAACCTAAAAATGGCAAAAACATTCAGGTTATAAAACTGGGCTTTAGTCTGAGAACCAGTATCTCAAGGACTCTTTTTAAAAAGAAACTGCTTTAAGGAAAGTAATGAAAAGAAATGCTAGGGAAGGCAGCCTAGTCATACCAGATCTTAAATTGTATTATGAAGCAACAATCATCAAAACCACTTGGTACTGGCTAAAAAATAGAGTGCTGGATCAGTGGAATAGGTTAGGCATTCAAGACACTGTAGACAATGACTATGGTAATCTACTGTTTGATAAACCCAAAGACCCCAGCTTCTGGGATAAGAACTCACTATTTGAAAAAAACTGCTAGGAAGACTGGAAAAAAGTATGGCAGAAACTAGGCATATTTCCATACCAAAATAAAGTGAAAATGAATACATGATTTAGACATACAGGCTAATACTATAAGCAAACTGGGAGAGCAAGAAATAGTTTACCTGTCAGATCTATGAAGAAGGGAAGAATTTATGACCAAACAAGACATAGAGAATATTATGAAATGCAAAATGGATAATTTTGATTACATTAAATTAAAAAGGTTTTGCACAAACAAGGCCAATGCATCCAAGATTAGGAGGAAAACAGAAAACTGGGAAAGAATTTTTACAACCAATGTCTCTGATAAGGGCCTCATTTCTCAAATAAAGAGAACTGAGTCAAATTTATAAGAATACAGGTCATTCCCCAATTGATAAATGGCCAAAGGATATGAACAAGCAGTTTCCAGATACAGAAATTAAAGCTATCTATAGTCATATGAAAAAATGCTCTAAATCACTATTGATTAGAGGAATGCAAATCACAACTCTGAGGTACCACATCACACCTATCAGATTGGCTAACATGACAAAACAGGACAATGATAAATGCTAAGAAGATGTGGGAAAACTGATGCATTATTGGTGGAGTTGTGAACTGATCCAACCATTCTGGAGAACAAATTGTAACTATGCCCAACAGGCTACAAAAATGTGCATACCCTTTGACCCAGCAACACCACTTCTAGGGCTGTATCCCAAAGAGATCATAAAAATGAAAAAAGGAACCATACATACAAAAATATTTATAGCAGCTCATTCTGTGGTGGCCAAGAACTGGAAATGGAGGTGATGCCCATCAGCTGAGGAATGGCTGAACAAGTTATGGTATATGAATGTAATGGAATTACACTGCATTATAAGAAATGATGAGCAAGCAGACTTCAGAAAAACCTGGAAAGATCTTTGGGCAGAGCCAAGATAGCAGAGTAAAAGCAGTGACATCCTTGAGCTCTCCCCCAAGTCCCTCCAAATATCTGTTAAAAAATGGCTCTAAACAAATTCTAGAGTAGCAGAACCCACAAAAAGACAGAGTGAAACAAATTTCCAGCCCAAGACAATCCTGGATGGTTAATTGAAAAGGTCTGTTGCACTGAGCTGGGAGAAGAACGCAGTTCAGTGTGGGCCATGCAGGCAAAGACCAGGCCTCATTGAATCTGGCACAGCCTTGGGCTGGCAGCTGCTTCGGGAGCTCTTGGCCCACAGACGGAAGGGGAAAATCAAGTGGCTGATCAAAGGGAGATTGCAGGGATCTCTCTGAAGGTGCTGCGGCAGGATTCTTTTGCTTTGCCCATGCTAAGATCTGGGTGGCAGTCCTGGGGGGAGGAGGAGTGCTGGCTCGGTGGAGCTTGCAGTGGTAGTGGAGAGGGAATCCGCCTCACAGTTCCAAGGCAGAAAAGAGTACTTGTGATCACTTATAGACCGGAGCCAGTAAAGGAGTAAACACCTTGTCCTTGATCATACCACCTTGGAAAAACTGAAAATTTATGGTTCCTTTACGTCTCTGAAAACAGCTGCACAAAACCCAAGAAGCTTGGGACAGGACATTCTCCACACTGGAACAAGACCCCTACATTAACAAAGAGTTTTAAACTCAAGTAACTGGCTGGAAACATGAGCAAACAGTGCAAAAAAAAGTTGGAATACAAACTCTCACTTTGGACAAAGAAGATCAAAACATACAACCAGAAGAAGACAACAAAGTCAAAGCCCCTACATCCAAAGCCTCCAAGAAAAATATGAATCAGTCCCAGGCCATGTAAGAGTTCAACAAGGATTTTGAGAAGCAAGTAAGAGAAGTAGAGGAAAAACTGGGAAGAGAAATGAGAATGATGCAAGAAAATTATAAAAAACAAGTCAACAGTTTGCTAAAGGAGACCCAAAAAAATACTGAAGAAAATAACACCTTAAAAAATAGCCTAACCCAAATGGCAAAAGAGGTCCAAAAAGTCAATGAGGACAAAAATGCCCTAAAAAGAAAAACTGGCCAAATGGAAAAGGAAATGCAAAAGCTTACTGAAGAAAATATTCCTTAAAAATTAGAATGGAAGCTAATGACTTTATAAGAAATCAAGAAATTGTAAAACAAAACCAAAAGAATGAAAAAATCGAAGACAATGTACAATATCTCACTGCAAAAGCAACTGACCTGGAAAAGAGATACAACAGAGATAATTTAAAAATTATCAGACTGCCTGAAAGCCATGATAAAAAAAAAAAAGAGCCTAGACATCATCTTTCAAGAAATTAACAAGGAAAACTGCCCTGATACTCTAGAACCAGACGGTAAAATAGAAATTGAAAGAATCCACTGATCACTTCTTGAAAGAGCTCCCTAAAGGAAAACTCCTGGGAATATTATAGCCAAATTCCAGAGTTCCCAGGTCAAGGAGAAAATACTGCAAGCAGCCAGAAAGAAACAATTCAAGTATTGTGGAAACACAACCAGGATAACACAAGAATTAGCAGCTTCTACATTAAGGAATCTCAGGGTTTGGCATATAATATCCCAGAGATCAAAGAAGACAGGATTACAACCAAGAATCACCTTCCCAGCAAAACTGAGTATAATCCTTCAGGGGGGAAAAAAATGGACATTCAATGAAATAGAGGACTTTCAAGTATTCTTGCTGAAAAGACCGGAGCTGAATAGAAAATTTGACTTTCAAATACAAGATTCAAGAGAAGCATGAAAAGGTAAACAGGAAAGAGAAATCCTAAGAGACTTATTAAAGTTAAACTGTTTACATTTCTACAACGAAAGATGATATTTGTAACTCATGAGACCTTTGTCAGCATTAGGGGTAGTTGGAGGGAAAAAATATATCTATCTATAGATAGATAAAGGGCACAAGGTAAGTTGAAGATGAAGGGGTGATATCTAAAAAACAAAATTAAGGGGTGAGAGAGGATTATACTGGGAGAAGGAGAAAGGGAGAGGTAGAATGGGGTAAATTATTTCACACAAAACAGACAAGAAAAAGCTTTTACAGTGGAGGGGAAGTTGGGGAAGGTGAGAGGGAATGAGTGAATTTTATTCTCATTGGATTTGGATTAAGGAGGGAATAACATACACAACTGGGTATGGAAATCTATCTTACCCTACAGGAAAATAGGGGGGAAGGGGACAAGAGAGCAGGGGGATGACAGAAGGGAGGGCAGATTGGGGGGTGGGATAATCAGAAGCAAACACTTCTGAGGAGAGACAGTCAAAAGAGAGAACAGAATAAACTGGGGGTGGGATAGGATGAAGGGAAATATACTTAGTTTTTCACAACATGACTACTGTGGAAGTGTTTTGCATGACTACACATGTATGACCTATATCAAGTTGCTCACCTTCTCAATGAGGGTGGGTGAGGAGGCAGGAAGGGAGAAAATTTGGAACCCAAAGTTTTAAAACATATGTTAAAAACTGTTTTTACATGCAACTGGGAAATAAGATATATAGGCAAAGGGGTATAGAAAGCTATCCCAACCTACAAGAACATAGAAGGGGAAAGGGATAAGAGAAGAGTGGGTGATAGAAGGGAGGGCAGATCAGGGGAAGGGGTATTAAGAATGCATGCCTTCAGGGTCAGCTAGGTGGCACAATGGATAGAGCACCGGCCCTGGAGTCAGGAGGACCTGAGTTCAAATCTGGCCTCAGATACATAACACTTACTAGCTGTATGACCACGGGCAAGTCACTTAACCCCATTGCCTAGCCAAAAAAAAAAAAAAAGCACGCCTTTTTGGGGTTGGGGTAGGGTGAGATGGGGAGAAAATTTGGAACTCAAAGACTTGTGGAAGTGAATATAGAAAACTAAAAATAAATTAATTAATAAAAATATTTTTTAAAAAAGAAAATCTTGGAAAGACACGTATGGACTGATGCTGAGTGAAATGAGCAGAACCAGGAGAATGTTGTACACAGTGACAGCCAAGTTGAGCAATGACTAACTTTGAGCTCTCCCCAGGAATGCAAGGATCTAAGACATCTCCAAAAGTCTCATGATGGAAAATGCTATCCACATCCACAGAAAAAAGTATGGAGTTTGAATGCAGATTGAAACATACTATTTGCTCTTTTTTTTCTCTTCTGTTTTGTTTCTTCTTTCTTGTGGTTCCTCCTATTGTTTCTAATTCTTCTTTACATGATGAATGTGAAAATGTTTTATAGGAATGTGTATGTAGAACCTATATCAGATTGCACACCATCTTGGGGAGGGAGGCAGGGAAGGAAGAGGAGAAAATGTAAAACTCAAAATCTCATGGAAGTGAATGTTGAAAACTAAAAATAAATTAATTAAAAAAAAAAAAAGAGGCAGCTAGGTGGTGCAGTAGATAGAGCACCAGCCCTGGAGTCAGGAGGATCTAAGTTCAAATCCTGCCTCAGGGCACTCAACATTTACTAGCTTGCCCAGTAACCCTGGGCAAACCCCATTGCCTAGCCAAAAGAAAAGAAAAAAAAATTTCAGAGAGGATTCTGGGAAGATGGTAGAGTCAGTCAGAAAACTTTTGGCTCTCCATATTTCCTCCAAGGTAACATTCTATTGAGCAAAATTTGCCACTTAAATCTAGTGTACTATTACCTCAGTCACCTTTCGATCCACTTCTGTGCCATCTACATAATACACATCAGTGATAACACGTGTAATTAGCGTGCGTACTTCACGTATAGTTCGCATGTGGCGATGCAAGACCTGGCCAGGTGGGGGCTGAGGCAAGTCAAATTCTTCTTCTCCCTATAACGTTTAAACAGCAGAACAGAGAATTAACACATTACTACAAATGGATATAACTATGACCCAACCAATTCAAAATGATCTAATTAACGAGTTTCATGAAATTTGAATACAGTAAAATTGCATGAATTAATTACAGCTAGAATCAGATTTCTCCCAGAGATTAAATATTAAGTACATAAGCTACTCAATAGATATACCATATATGTATTACACCTAAAGACCTGGGTTAACGTCTACAAACAAATTTTGAGCAAGTGAGAATCCTGTTTGTAGTTTTATCATAAAGAAAAATAATTTATTAACTCAAATAAAACCTTGTGCCTTTGTGAAAGCTGACATGTGAAAACACCAAATGAAGCTTGACTCATGCTAGAAAATAAAACATATAATTTTTTTCCATCAGTTTTGTGATTTCATTAACATAGAATTCCTGGTGTGTAAACCTCCCATACCCACATGCACAGTTGTAACTTGCAATTTATACTCTCAGAGGGTTGTCTGAAGCACTGAGAGAAAAAATGACTTGCTTGTGGTCACACAGCTCGTATGTGTCAAAGGCAACTCTAACCTAGAGGGTACCTCATTCGAATGCCAGTCCTCTATGTAATGCCATGCTGTTTTTACAAATTTTTAGTTTTTAAAAAAAATTTTTGAAATTAAAGTTTAATTTTATTTTAATTTTTCCCATTCTACTATGAACTGATTACAAGTGAAGTATTGGTTCTAGGGAAAAAAACTTCCTCTGAATTGTTACATTCATTTAGTTTCTCTCCAGTGTGGAATCAGTCTTGTACTTAGGCAGAAGGATTTATCATATGCATTACATTTATAAAGTTTCTTTCTAATATGAATTCTATGGTGGGAAATATGGTATATGAGTTGTAACTGAAGGTCTTGGTAGAGATGTAAAGAGAGCAGACTATGAAGTCAAATGACCTAGGTTCCAATCCCAGCTCTGACACTAGCTATTTTAAGTCATTTAATCTCTTAAGCCACAGTTTCCTTATGTGTAAGGGAACTGGACTAAATTACCTCTGAGTTTTCTTTCCAGCTCTAAACCTATGATCTTTCCCACATTAAAGGTTTTTGAAGTACGAATCCTGATAGCTAGTAAATTTTAACTTCTGACATACACTTGAAAAATTCATATTTCACAAGGAGCTACAAAAACTAAAGAATTCAAACAAATAAATTAATCACTTAAATATAAACATCACATTATTTCATACTAATAGTTATTTCCTCTACAACATCTCATGTTTGTTGTCCCATTCTCTCTACTTGAACAGTTACTTAGACCCTCATCATCTCTCACTTAGACTTTTACAGCAGTCTCCTAACTAGCCTTCTTGCCTTGTTCCATTCCCATACATCCTCCATAGAGTTATTGATGTGATTTTTTCATAAAGTACAGTTCCAACCCTGTCATTGTCTCTCCCTCTGACCCCCACCACACACCGCAATAAACTCCAACAGCTCCCTATGATCTCTAAACTCTTCTGTTTGGCTTTTAAGGCTCTTTACAACCTGGTCCCAACTTTGCTTTCTATATTACACATCACTCCCTCCACATACTCTAAAGTACAGTCAAACTGGCCTTCTTCAAACTTGACAACATATTTCCAATTGCCATGTCATCCCTCCACTTCTCAGAATCCATGATATCCATAAAAAACTGAGCTCAAGCTCCACTTTTTCCATGAATCCTATGCCAGTCCCTCTAGCTGATAGCACTTTCCCTACCAAGATTACCTTGTATTTCTTTTGCAATGCCTATTTACATACATTATGTTCCCTGTTAGAATGTAAGCTACTTGTAAGCATACATCATTTCATTTTTGTTCCTGTACCTCTAGCTCCTAGTACAGTGCCTGACACATGAAGGGCATATTAATGCTTGCTGACTGAGCAAATTCTTGTTCATAACAGTTCACCCCTGTTAGAACTGCTTTAAAGGTAAAAGGATTACACACATCTTTTCAGTTGTTCAGACCAAGCCTTCATAATACATCCTTTTGCTGCTACTGCTGAAAATGAAATCACTTGCCATGAGGGAAATATGTGGAATGAAATAAATTCATATTTTCTATTCTTCATACTTGAAGTGGGGAAAATATGTTAATAAAAAACTACCGTGTGAAAATGAGTCTCTAAGAAATCTAAGACATATTCCAACACAAAGGTTGAAATTTAAACATTATTATTCATAGATAGGCACTAAGTAATAGATTGTAATGATAACAGATGGCATTTGTAGTTTAAAGGTTTGCATTTTCATATATATATATATATATATGTGTATATATATATATATATATATATACACACACACACACACACACACACACACACATCCATCCATACATACATTTTTATATAATATATATAAAATCTCATTTGATCTTCACAACAACTGTAGGAGGCAGATACTATTATTATTCCCATTCTACAGATGAGAAAACTGAGGCTAAACAAGATTAAGTGACTTGCTTGGATTCACAGAGCTACCGAATGTCTGAAGCAAGGTCTGAACTAAAGAATTCTGAACCCCAAGTGGAATGCTCTAGCCACACTACCACACTTCTTTACGGTATAGCTATTACATCAGACTGCCACAAAAATAGAAGAGAATAAAAATGCCCCATAGCATTTGTACATTCCTTAAATATAATCATACAGCTATCTAAGCAGTCTGTACAAATACAGAAGCCATACAATGGGAGAAACCAACTGAGATCAGCATAAAAACAGGCAAGACAGAGATGAAAAAGTAAAGGACAGAACAACTAATGTTGCTTTCTCTCATGAACAGCTCTCTGAAAAAGACCTGTCTGAGACTGAAAAGCTTAATTTTTTTTATTAATAAATGAAGGGGACAAGAGCAATGTCAAAGAAAACACTCCTTTGAATACAGAGAAATCTTAGTTGCAGGGGTGCAATTCAAACTTTAAGAACTATAGGAGCATATTAGTTTCCACTAAAACAGGGCTAAGTCTTTTTTTTTTTTTGCTTTTTTTGGCTAGGCAATGGGGTTAAGTGACTTGCCCAGGGTCACACAGCTAATGTCATGTGTCTGAGGCCAGATTTGAACTCAGGTCCTCCTGACTCTGAGGCCAGAGCTCTATCTACTGCACCACCTAGCTGCCCCAAAACAGGCCTAAGTCTTAACCACAACGGATAGCATTAAAAGTTTTTACATACTTGGCTTTATCACCATACAGAAAACATCAGAAGATGAAAGGGACATGAGTCAATGGCAAAGCTGAGACTAGAAGTCAGATCTCCATACTTTCAGATGACTGCTCTGCATGTTAAGTACAGATCAAGTTTACCACTGTTTGCAAGGAAAGGGGCAGCATGGCATAGTGCACAGAAAGCTGGCCCCCACAGGGGCAGGTAGGTGGTGCAGTGGATAGAGCACCAGCCCTGGAGTCAGGAGGACCTGAGTTCAAATCCGGCCTCACACACATAACACTCACCAGCTGAGTGATTCTGGGCAAGTCACTTAACCCCCAACTGCCTCACCAAAAAAAAAGAAAGAAAGAAAGAAAGAAAGCTGGCCCCAGAGTCAGGAAGGCCTGTGTTCAAGTGCTACCTCTAAAACTAAATCACTTAACTTCCCATGGCCTTCAGGCAACCCCCTATGTCTACAAGTTGCGCAATAGTTGCCCATCTGAATTGGTATAAGAAATTTCCTCACTCAAAGTTCCCCACGCCAATGAAATCATAGGTCTAGAAAAGATTTTAGGTAAGAAAAGAGAAAGAAGCAGTAACTAATTTTTGGGGGGGTGGTTTTAACCAATTAGTTCATCTATGTAGGGAACACGCAGTATACAAATTCCCTCCACTGATACAGACTGACAAATCTTTTGTAATTTATAGCCTTAGAGGGCTTCTAAGGATACTAAGAATTTAAGAGACCTATCCAAGGACACTAAGCTAGAATGTGTCAGAGGCAGAGACCGAACCAATTCTTCCTCACTCCAAGACAGGCTCTCTATCCACCAGGACATACAGCCAAAGCTTAAAACATGGAGCCAAATTACTAACACCTCAAAGATAAAAACAGGGAAACAGGAGACTGATGTGGCACGTCTCCTGCTCCGGGACTGATCTACTCTAAGTGTGTTGAAACTACCATACCTTAGAGATAATACACTTTTTCAGAACATCACCTCTTTATCCAGGCATTTCTACAGGCAATAAAGGATTCTTATAATGCCTCACAGGGCTTCACTCCTAAAGAGGAGTGAAGCCCTGTGAGATTGTGTTACAGCTCAACACAGGTGCCCTTAGAAAGCACCTGATGAGGTTTATGATTAAAAAGAAGCCTTTCCTAAATAGATCCAAAGTGAAGATGACCCATAACTTACTTATTGATATAGCTCACCCTATATCAGTTTCCTTTTTTTTTTTCCTCCCAAGGACCTCATAGCCACCTAAAGTAATTTTTAAAATTTATTTTCAGATTTGTTAATCTAATATATAACTTTTTACCTTCTGTTGAGTTTTGTTTCATCTTTCTGATGGCTCCTCCTATTGGTTTTAATTTTTACTTACAACTTCACTAATGTGAAAATATGTTTAATGGGTATGTAAATGTAAAGCCTATGTCAGATTGTGCGCTGTCTTGGGGAGGGTGGGTGAGACGAAAAGGGAGGGGGGAAAAAAAAGAAAAAAAAAACAAAGCTTCCTGGATCAGACAAAGACTCAGAGTTGGAATGGGATTTGAAGGATGGTTACAGTTAGTACTAAAAGAAAATTTAAAAAAAAAAAAGGAAAAAACCCTAATATATAACTTTCTCTCTCCTTAAGACCACCTAATTTTTAATGTCTTATTTGTTATATTCTCAGATTTCTTCCTCCACCCCAACTCTTACCAGTTTCTGATACTTTCCCACCCACTGCAAATCTTCATACCTTCTCCACAGTCCCCACGTTCTAACTTGACCTGTTTTTAATCCTACTACTTGTGTTCCTCCTGATCACGAACAGCTCCTCCTCCAACCACCAACTTTCAGTCCTTCCTCACATTCCCACAAAAAGGACTCCTAGGAACTACAGGGAAGTAGACTAAGTCCTGACAGGTGAGTAAGGGACAGGGAGATAGTCAAGGCAGCAATATCCTAAGAGATATGAAATAGGGTACTGACTGTTCACCTAGGCCTCTTTCAAGAGGAAGGAGATCTACTTAAACTCAAATATGACTCAGTTTTCCCTGTAACATCACAGACTAGCTATAATTCTAATGTCTCCCACTCCACTTCCATTCTTGAGAGTATCCCTGATGTTCAATAGGAAACATAGCCCTATGCTGTCAAGGTCTCATCTTCTCTGTTGACTAATACATGATTATTGTCCAGTAGACCACGCAGTTTAGAAGATCCCAGGGAGGCCCCATGCCTGTTCTTACCTGGCTATGCAAAGAGTCAGTATCATCTCCTGAGACATTTGTAGGTTTCTCCGCATTCCTCCTCTCAGTCTGTACCTTAGCATCTTGTTTCCCAAGGTTCTGGTCAGCCATGCTGGTTCCCACCTCTACTTGTTCACACACTCCTTTCGTGGTCTGTGTTGCTACTGAAACAACAGTTGGAGCCCAAAGGGAATGTTCTGTTGTCTGGACTTCTTTGTTATTTGTCTTGGGCCAAATGCTTTCCCCTCCGGTTCCTGGGCTTATAGACAAGACTTTACTGGATTTGTCCTGACTGGTTTTTGATTCTTCTTGTTTATCTCCTGCCACATTCATCTCCACGGTATCTCCTTTTGGACTGGATGGCACTTGCGTGACAGTCTGTTGTGCAGCTGGGGAAATAGGGGCATCAACATGAGAAGTGTGCTTGATAGGCTGTTGTTGGCATGGCCAGGGGCTAGGGTCATCTTCCATTTTTTCATCTTCTGCTTCGTGAGTGCTTGGGAAATTGACTAAATCTCCCCTGAAAACCAACCACACAGAGAGATCATGTCATAAATGAACTAATTTGTCTGAATCAAGATCCAAAAGACAAGCCTTTTTCCAAGTGCTCCACACCCCCTTCCATTCCTGTGGTGTTCCCCTTAGAGCACGAGCACACACTGTGTCCCATTCACCACTAGGTGAGACTAAAATACATAAAAGAGATTCAGCAAACCCTAGTTCCAGTCTTTCCACCAAATAAGAAAACTGTGAGTGTCCAGACTACGTCCACCATGTGAAATGCAGACGGTGACAAGATTAAGATTGTTGTTACTGGTAATTGTGTGTATGAAGTTTTATATCATGATCTTAAGTAGCTGTTCCTGTGAAATAAGAATGGTGAGTTCACAATTACTTCAATCTGACAATACTATTTTTGCAAAATGTTTTCCATTTTTGTTGACAACCTACTGCCAAAAGAAAAACAAGAAGACAGAAAAATTGAATTTCTTATCAGTCAACAACAATGTAAGAATTTACTTTTTAAAAGGAAGTTAGAGCACGATTTCTATGCACAACATAATGTTTCTAATACTTTTCTGATTCTAATAGACTTCTATCAGGTTTGCTATGGCCTCACATTTCATAAGCAAATAGGGATATTTTGGGTTTTCCTTTTATTAGTAGACATTATAAGGAATGGAATGACATGGATAAAGGTCACGAAGGACAAGCAACCACAGATGGGCTGCCATCTGCATGGCTGGACAGAATACACAGAATAGATATCAATACATGGAGAAGAACACAGATTCATTAGAATATTTATTAGTTACTTAGCAGTATTTATCAGTTAATAATCTATTTTTTGCAATACTAATCAAACTCAATATTTACTTTTGGGAAAGGAGCCCAATTTAAAAGGCAATAAGTTGCAGTTAAGCTTCCAGCTCTGTCAGCTATAGTGGTCAAATCAAAAAGCATTTATATTAAGCATCTAATATGTGCCAGCCACTATGTTAAGCTCTGAGGATACAAAGAAAGGCAAGAACAGTCCCTGTCTTCAAGGGGTTCACATTCTGACAGGGGAGAAAATATGCAAAATAACTATGTACACTTACAATATACACAGAGTAAACTGAAATATAGATCAACTGGAGTTAGTATAGGGAGGTGGTCCAATGGACAGAGTGTTGGACCTGGAGTTAGGAAGACCCAAGTTTGAATCCTGCCTCAGACATTTACCAGACGTGTGACCTGTAGACAAGTCTACCCTGAGTTTCCTCATCTGTAAAACGGTAATAACTATAGCACCTATTTCATGGGGTTGTTGTGAGGATTAAATAAAATAACATGTAAAGAGTTTTGCAGACTTTAAAGCATTATATAAATGGTGATGGTGGTGGTGGTGGCAGCTGTTGTAACCACCTTTGGATAATTTTGCTCTTCAAAAGCTACAAAGATGCTATTTTTTATCACTCATGCAACAGTGAAACTCTAAATAAAATATTCCTTGTCCATGGTGCAGTCATCATAAACAGACCAAGATCAAAAGGCCTGGACCAACAGGACAAGTACGGCTAATATAAAGCTGTGATATATTGACTGGTACAAAAGTATAGAGGGTACTGAAAAGAAACATTTGGTAAAGACAGCAGCAGAACATAAACAGCCATCTCCACACACATGTGCAATATCGCATTAGAGAACAAAGAGAACTCTTCTCACCATCAGGATCTATAAAATTTCCATCTATATAGGAACACCTGCTAAATTGGAGTATAGAAAGCTGATAGACACCTAGATAACGAACACATTATTTATAGTCAGGTAAATGTAAAAACTTTTATGATTTTGTCTTTCAGGGGTCTATACGAGAAGCCCATGGTTCAGCTATTAATGTAAAATATCTAGATTAGGTAGTATTACTAATTATATTTTAGGTGAAAGTGTTTTGGAGCTAAAATTACCTAGAACTGCAGGAAATTGCATTTTGGATATATAGACATAATCTCAGATATAGATTGGTTTTACATTATTCCTTCTAAATATGAACCTTATCTGCTTAATTTCAGCAAATAATAACCAAAATCCTAATGAGAAGACTAAGTTTTATCTTTTCCTTAATACTATTTGGTATTAGTAAAATATGAAAAAGAAATGAGCAAATTTCAGGTTTTAAATCTAAATATGTTTGTTAAGAAAGTAGATGATTAAGGAACACAGCATTTGGGATGTTTGCTTATCATTAAAGTGGAATACACCATCTGCTTTTCTGTATTTTCAAGTAAAACTAGATTATAAGCACCTAATTAAACACAGCTCATTGAATACAGGGCCTATGTTTTATATTTCTTTGTATTCTTCACAGTGTCTAGTACAGGACCTTGCACACAATACTCAATAAATATCTGTTGGTTTGATTTGAAATAAAAACAGCAGAAAATAACACGTGTTAAATTGGCCTTAGGGTTTCAGTACTTGCATTCATGAGCTATAATGCCATGAATAGAAATCTTTTTCAGTGGTTCAGTCAGCCATTTTCCTCACAAGTATTTGCTAAGTAGTATTCACATCACTGTACTATTCCCTTTGCAGAGTTTGGGTACACGGTACAAGAAACATCATTAAGGAAAAGCATAGAGAGATCTGAATCTATATTATATTAATATTAATTTGCCTTCTTGCTTTTATCCTCTATATCTATTTACTTCAATGACAGATGATGATTCAACTCATTTCCTGACAGTATTAAAAATGTTTGTGTTTGTTTTTTGAGAGGTAGCGAATGGTAATCAACAATTATGCAAACAAATTATATTCTTGGCTTCCCTAAAAGGCAGCAGTAAATGGGGACTTAAGTCTTAATTATTTCTGGCAGTGGTGAAAAGTGAAGAGACTTGAAAAGGTAAATGAAAAATCAGAAATCAGACATGAGGTATGCCTGGGCAATATGATATTTAAAAACAAGTACACGACAATCATCTACTACAACTAAGTGTGATACCTGAACTGTACAAATGGATGCAGTAGCCATTAAAAACAAAGTAAAAAGCTTCCTCTTTAATGGCAAGTGTAGGTCTTTGCCTAACATATCACTAATATTTTGACTAAGAAACAAGACACAATATTCCAGTTATGGACTTCAGAGTTTGAAGTCATCTGCTCCATGACTTAGTTATTTTGGAGAAGCGCTACTATGTATGGCAGAATGTATCTTTTTATATATATAGTAACTCTTCTCATTAATTTGCTGAGATGAGATGGAAGAATTCATATGGATTGTCCTACCAGCATCCTGAACCCTCAGGCCATCAATTTAAAAGATAATTCTGTCATATTCAATGATGATTTTAGTGAGCCACCAAATCAGTAGTGTGGACAAATTATTTCATTTAACACATAACCAGTATCTCTCTAATTCTGTGTTATATTTAGGTGGGACTTGACAAATGACATTGTCTTTGGACATCTGTATAACTTAGATAAGATACCTTTGGGACACTCAGCCCCAAGCAACTATCAATTTCTTTTATACCAAAAGAATTTTTTGCAACTTAGTATAAAATCCTGAAGCCACAAAATGTATGTTGCCTAAATGAACACTACAATTAAGTGCCTAATTAATATAGTGTTTTGTTTTTTAAACAAAGGCACTGCATAGAGATCGACAGATCGAACCTACATGAATTCTTCATATAACTCTAATGATTATCTCACCTGCAATACTTCAATCAGGTTTCAGGGCTTCAATATCAGAAGAAAAAAAAGTCAGTAAGACAAAGGGAGCGCTAAACGATAATACAAAAAAAGATATCATGTCTCTAATTTTTATAATAGTTCCTCTGAGATAGAGGTTCACATGCATTAATATATTAACCTTCACAATATTCTGATCTTATGGATTGGGAAACTAAAGCACATAAATATTAATGAATTCATAGGATTCTCAAAGTAAATTAGTACTGGAATTAATAAAAATAAGTATGCTCTTTAAAAGCCTCATGGTTTAGCCACTTAGCTACACTCACCTAAACCTTCAATGTTTAGGAATTCTTAAAGTTGATTCAAAGAAGCTATGAAAGGTAACGAAGACATTGTTCAATATGAGAAAAGATTTTCTGCCCATTAAGTATTAGACTCTGGTCCTAAGGAATATATTCCATTGTGCTCCTCCATCCTTAGGCATAAGGTCAAGAGTTACTAACATTCTTCTACTGCTAATATTTATGGTAATATGTCTAATCTGTAACAGCTGCCTATTACTGTCAACACCACTATCCTCCCAGTCACTTAGGCTTACAGCCCAGATGTCATCCTCAACTTCCCACACTCATACTTAACACACAAGGTCACAGTCTTAGATAACTCCCATCATCTGCTTCCTTTGTTCCTACACATATGCTACTGAACAAACATGTAGAAAATCACATTTGCAACCGTTTTGGTTGAGTCCACTATAAATTTGTATTACACAACCTTAACTGGGCCCTGACTGCTGTTAGACAATCCTTCTTTACCTTTTTTATCCACATATTATCTCGCTCTTGACACAGAAACTCTTCCAAAGCTTTTTATCCCTCCTCAAACCTCCCATAGCTTCCCCTTTGCCCACATCCTCAGCCAAGAAATCTCATATTTAAAAAAAACAAACCCAAAAACAAAACTGGAGTTCACAGCAATCCCTCTAGCTGTTTTCTACCACTATCTTCCTCCTTCAATGCTATCTCACATGAGGAAGTGGCCTTACTCCTTACCATGATTAACACCATCTACCCCCTCAAGCAATCCTATTCCATATCATCTTTTCCAGTAGACTGCCTCCTCTCTCAGTCTACTGGCTCCTTCCCTACTGTCTAAAAACATGCCCAGGGGGCAGCTAGGTAGCACAGTGGATAGAGTACTGGCCCTGAAGTGAGGAGGACCTGAGTTCAAATCCGGTCTCAGACCAAACACTTGACACTTACTAGCTGTGTGACCCTGGGCAAGTCACTTAACCTCAACTGCCTTAAAAAAATTTTTTTTAAATAAAAACATGCC